TTAAATAATATTAATCTGATTGATCGATTTACCTCCCTATGTTTAAGATATAACGTCCGTTGATTAATTAAATTACTGACAAAATAATTAATCAACTTCTTATTCATTTCCGAAATTAGTACCACTCAGCCTTTAACCATTATGTCAGACAATCGTCTATCTGCAGGGTTTGACATAATGTTCCTTTCTGCAACAGAGTCAAGCAGCCCGACAGACCCCCATCGTCCCCCTGCTAGCAATACCTAACTGTCTGAAGAGGTATGCCAGTGCAGCCGAGCCCCACGAGTAATCCCCAATTTTCTCCATCAACTCGAGCAGGACTTTGGGAGAGACCTGGTTACAACTCTTATCCGTAAACAAGGTGGAAGCGAGCAACACCCAAAGCCAACCAATCGCCACATGCTCCTCCGACCGAGGTAGGTCAGCCTTCGACAGCGCATCAACAACGGAGTCATTTGTCACCGACCCGTGAGCCCAATACCTCTCCGTAAGAACCCAGTGATCCACACCCAGCATCTCCATGCAGTACGCCTTGCATGCCATGGTGTCGGGGTATCCTGTGACTACCTTTCTATCCACAGGAACCCCCATTATATCCCGCACATCGTGCAACATGATACTCATTTCACCAAAAGGCAGGTGAAACGAGTTCGTATCTGGCTGCCAACACTCCACAACTGCTGAAATAAGTGGAGTGTCGATGTGCGTGTGCATGCTGGATGCCAAATGCTCCATCCTAGATGGAAGGATCAGATCTCACGCAAACTGAGGCATGACTTCGAACCAGTCCCTCAAAACACCGTGCACATCCATCCTGTTCTGGCATTTGAACATGCCTCTGGCCATTCCAGTCCAAATACCGGAGGCCATATGCCATAGAAAGCTAGGGATAACACTCCCGTCAATGGGGCCGCCGAGCACTGCGACTGTAACGATCCAGTCGTCACCCTTAGCGCGTTTGCTACTCGCCCATGTATTAAAATAGAACAATCAATATATATACGACACATTGTGATTGACTTTGCACTAACAACTAAAAAATATAAGAAAAATATGAAATCTGCTATTATCGTATACCTAGAGCTGTAAATGAACCGAACGTTCATGAACAAAGCTCGTTCGTGTTCGACAAAAGCTCGTTTGCTTGTTAATCGAGCCGAGTTCGAACAAAAAATAAGCTCGTTTTATAATCGAACGAACGCGAGCTTGTTCGTGAACGTTCGATTATGTTCGCGAACATTAATTTAATATAATTTTATTCTAATTTTTATATATTTAAATAATATTTTTATTAAAAATCTAGAATTTGATATAATTTTATTTGTTTTCTATACATTTACATAATATTTTTAATAAAAAATATTTTTATTTTATTCTTTTCTTTTCGAGTTCGAATGAACAAATTTCGAGTTAATCAAACATATTTAAAAAGTTTATTTATTAAATTATTCGAACACGTACGAACTTTGACGAACAATTAAACGAACGAACTCGAACACGATTTTTTGCTCGAAAAATAAACGAACGAACATGAACACTGTTCGAACGTAAACAAACACGAGCTCGAACAGCCCAAGCTCGATTCGATTCGGTTCGTTTACAGCACTACGTATACCCAAACAGATGTACGAATATTTCTAATAGTAAACAACAATAAATACGTAAATCATTTACCTGAGGATGCTGTAGCGCTCGGGTAACGGCCCCCAGCATGTCGTGGAGGATCAACTCGGCCAGGTCGTTTAGCTGGACGTGGATGTGGCTGTGGCTGTGCCTGCTCAGCTCCAGCAAAGTTGGAGTCATAGACCGCCTCGTGATGTGGATAGCCCTAGTCGTCATCATCATAGGCCTGTTTGTCATCATCATAGGTCTGCCTGTCACTATCATCATCATAATCATGCGGACTCCGGACTGCCGCCTCGTAAGTGCATCCCCGATGCTGACTAATACGTAAAGTCCCGAGACGATCGAAGCTGCTAGAGATCAGTGACACAGACCTCTGACCACTCTACATCACAAGGAGGCGTCCCGAACTGCTATGCATGAGTGGGCCGGACTAACCACTCTGTCTCGGATCAACGAGAGGTCTCTAACTGCCAGCCGGGGCAGTCTGTACCCAACGAGCCTCAAGGAGCCTCTGCTCCCTCTCCCGTCGAGCGGAAGCATTCATATTATGAGCGTGCATGTGTCGGGCTCCAAAACCATCGAAGTCGGCAAGATAGTCATCAACCTAAATCCAAAATTTTAAACTAATAATTAGTAAACAAACTTTTTTAATTCATTTATTTTAAAAACATAATTAGACTACTTAATTTATTAATCTAAATTAATTTGACTTAATAATATATTTTAATTAATAATATGTAAATATTAATTTATTTCGTAATAATATGTATATAT